GATGTGGTCTCCTGATACTTTCAGTCTTTTTTTATATTTATTGCCCAGCATGTCAATGATTCTTCAGTGAAGGTTTTTCTAAAGGAAAAGGCATATAAATCTGCTGACACCTTTTTGTTGTTATTGTTAAGTAAAGCTCTTTATGCCAAAAACAACCATCCACACAATAATCCTGTAACATTCTTTATAAACCAAACTAAAATTCTACCTCCTCCCAACCATCTCATCTATTCCTTATTTATAACCTGAAAGCCTCATTTAGTTGACACTGTCACAGACTAACTTGTACTGTGGGTTGTTTTAGGAGGAGCCTGTGTCTTACTTACTAGGCAAGCCCAGAAGCCTCCTGAGGGGAAGAACTGATTAGGGAGGGAAATGCCCCAGCATTTCTCCTGTCAGTATGCTTTGTTTTGTTTGTTTTTAATTTTCAGTGTGCTTTCTCTTTGGACTCATGGATTATTTAGAAGCATATGGCTTAATTTTTAAAAAGTTGTGGATTTTCTAGTTATCTTTTTTGCCATTGTACCCAGAGAACATACTTTGAATGAATTTCAACCTTTTGAAAATCATTCAGGACTTCTTTATGGCCCCAGATCTGGTCATTTTGGTAAATGTTCCATGTGCATTTGAAAATAATGTGAATTCTGTAAGCCCATTTTTTTTAATTACTTTTTATTTTCTGTTTATAAATGCTTATGCCTACTATTGTTTGTTGATGGAAAGCAGCCTTCTGCTTCTTTTTACTTATAGGCTCAACAAAAGTAGATGAAACAATGGTTGAAAGCCATTAAGAGTTGTGTAACTCTTGAAGATGGAAGAATAGGCAGACAAGCTGCACAGACCCTCTTCAACAAAGAAAAGAGAAATCATTTGACAGAGATAAAGAAGATAATCCTGGAGCCCTGAACTTTGAAAGGAATGATACAGAAGTGGATTAGGCACCAACTATTGAAAAAACCTGAATAAAAACCGTGAGTACGGAGACAGATGGAGCAGTGAACTACTCAGCTACTTTGATGGGACGAACAGCCTGAATATTTCCAAGTGGTGTTGGGACTTGAGAATTGACCTAAAGATCAGCCCTGGTCACCTAGGGCTGCAGGGATGACTGCATTGATGGCCTGTGACTAGGAAGGGAAACAGCAAGGAGGGAGATAACCTGAGCTGTGGACTTTCCGCTGTCTAGAGGGTATAGCTATTTTGATTGGTTACAAGTGGCAGCCATTTTGGATATTTAAAGTGACCAAGGTTGTAGCCATTTTGAATCTTTATAAGTGGCAGCCATTTTGGATTTTAAAGGACAGCATTCTCATTCAGATTCCAGGGACCTAAGAAAAGGCTCTGTTTGCCAAGGACAGCAGGGACATATAAGAGGCTGACAATGGGAAAGGAGGCAAGTGGTGAGTGTATAAGTGCTGCCAACTAGTGAATAGAGGAACACAGCACAGTACAGTACCCTGCTTACATAGATGACATACAAACAAAACAAAATGAAAATTGTGGGTAAGTCACTCCAACATGCAATCACCAATTAAATATAAACACAAAAACATCACAATGCCTCGGAGACAACAGAGCATCACAGTCCACACAAAGAAGCAAGCTAAAGCAAGAGAAACAAGGGACCAGGATACAGACCCAAAACACATCCCTGAGGAAGATGCAGCACTTGAACTCCCTGATGTTGTTGTTGTTGTTTTGTGCCATCGAGTCGGACCCGACTCATAGCGACCCCTCCTTGGGTTTCTGAGGCAGTATCACTATGGAAGTAGATTGCCCCATCTTCCTTCCGAGGAGTGGCTGGTGGGTTTGAACCGCCAGCCTTCTGATTAGCAGTCAAGTGCCTTAGGCACTATGCTACTGGAGCTCCCAATAAGGAATTCAAAAGAATTATATTTAGGTTTCTTCAAAAGATTGAGAAACAGATCAAGGAAAACACAGACAAAACCCTAGAAGAATTTTAGAAGAAAATACAGCAACAAAATGACAAAATAAATGAAAAATTAGAAATGATTCTAAATCTACAAATAGAAATCCACAAGATTAATACTAATTTTTTAGAAATAGATAACACATTGAACAGGCAAAGGAGTAGAATTGAACTGCAGACAGAATTAGTGAGATTGAAGGCATATACATCAATACTTGTTTGGAAAGTGATCAATCAGAAAAAAGATCAAAACAAAATGAAGAAAACCTATGTGGGATACCATCAAAAGAAATAACCTATGTGTAATCAGAATTCCAGAACAGGAAGAGAACAATAAAACCACAGAGAAAATTGTCGAAGATTTGTTGGAAGAGAATTTTCCTAGTCTGATGAAAGATGAGACTATATACATTCAAGAAGTCCAATGAACCCCAAACAGGATAGACCCTAAAAGAAAATTACCAACATAAATCATCATCAAACTCACCAAAACCAAAGACAAAGAAAGAATTCTGAAAGCAGCATGGGGAAAACAAAAAGTTACCTACGAGGGCCAACCAATAAGACTAAGCTCAGATTTCTTGGCAGAAACCATGCAGGCAAGAAGACAAGGGAGCAGTATATATAAAACCCTGAAAGAGAAAATTTTCTAACCAAGAATTATGTAGCCAGAAAAACTGTCCCTCAAATATGGTCAAATTAGGACACTTCCAGATAAGCAGAACTTAAGAGAATTTGTTAAAACCAGACCAACCTTACAAGAGATGCTAAAAAGAGTCCTTTGGACAGAAAAGCAACAACAGCAAACAATAACTACCATTAACACACATGACAACATAACCCAGAAACCAACCCAGCTATGGAAGTATCCAAAGTAAATAAGCCTACGAGATTGTAAACAGGGAACCAGAGACATCAATTGACAAATGAGAACAACTACAAACCAAAAAGAGGGAAAAGACTGTGTCGCTATAGAACTTCCAAATGGTAGGGAAGTCAAGACAACTACAAGACAGAACAGACTGTTCTAAACTTAGAAAGAAAACTATAAATCACAGGATAACCTCAAAGAACAATGATAAACCTTCACATCAAAATAAAAAGAGGACCAGCACAAATATTTAGCAAATATTAAAACAATAGCAATGAAGGAAGTGATAACACAATTCATAAACAAAACGAGCTCAGCACAGAAAATTATATGGAATAAAGAAATCAATACCACAAAAAAGCACAAAACAAAAATGACACCAAAAAATTCATATTTTCCAATAATTACATATCTGGCAAGGGACTTATCTCTAAGATTTATAGAAAACTCCAATGCCTCAATAGCAAAGGAATTAACAATCCAATTAAAAATGGGCAAAAGACATGAATATACACTTCACCAAGAAGGATATTCAGGTGGCCAGCAAATACATGAAGAGATGCTCATGATCACTGGCCATCAGAGAGATGTAAATGAAAACAACAATGAGATACCATCTCACCCAAGCACTGATGGCAAGGTTCAACGAGACAGAAAATAACAAATCCTGGAGAGGATGTGGAGAGATTGGGTCTCTCATTCATACACTGCTGGTGGAATTGTGAAGTGCTTCAACCACTGTGAAAAGCAGTATGGAAATTCCTTAGAAAGCTGGAATTGGAGATACCATTTGACCCAGCAATCCCATTACTAGGTATATATCCTAGGGAGGCGAAAGCCAGGATAGGAACGGATATATGCACACCCGTGTTCATCACAGCACTATCTACAATAGCAAAAAAATGGAAACAACCTATGTGCCCATCAATGGAAGAGTGGATGACCAAACTATGGTACATACACACAATGGAATGCTATGCAACACTAAAGAATAATCCTAGCATCAGAAGTGAAGAAGAACACAAAAGGGGGGGCATTTGGAAGCAATCAGCCCTAGGACACGATGGCCCTCGAGACCAGAAGAACTAGATGGTGCCCAGCTACCAATGCCAACCACTCAGGAAAGGATCAAATCTGGAGATCCTGGATAGAGTGGGAGGGAAAACATGGAACAAAATCCAAAGACTCAATGTTGTTGTTGTTGTTATGTGCCATTGAGTTGGCCCAGACACATAGCGACCCCTCCTTGGGTTTCTGAGGTGGTAGATTGCCCAAACTTCCTTCCGAGGAGTGGCTGGTGGGTTTGAACTGCCAGCCTTCTGGTTAGCAATAATTACTGGTCAGATGAAATCTGGTGAGACTCCCAATACTATGGCCCTGGAATACATTCTACACCTGGAATAAAACTCACCCTCAGGGGCAGACTCTCGGTCCAATAGTTAACAAGATGTACATGCAGACCACTCAACCCAGGGTGATGCGCCCACATACTCTATGGTAATACATCTCTTAGAGCAATAGACCATGGGATACCAGAGGACCAACATTCAAACTGAGGAAATGCGGGACAAACAGGAGTGCATAAATATGAGGGGCACTGGGGGAGGGTTACAGGGTAGGGAGGGGAGGAGACTGGGTTAGGGTTGGACATGGCAGATGGGGAATGAAACTAAATGTATGCATAATGTTGAATGTAAAACAAGTTCTTAAAATAAATAAATAAATAAAAAAGAATAATGTAGAGTCTGCAAAACACCATATAACATGGATGAACTTGGAGGACATTATGCTGAGTGAAATAAGTCAATGACAGAAGGACAAATACAGTATAGTTTGTTGTTGTGGAGGATCACGGAAAGGTTTATATATGGAAGGAACTGTTCATCAATTACCAGGGGTGGGAGGGGAGGGGAAGGAACACTGCAAAAAAAAAAATTTTCTTTCATTGACCCACGTTAGTTTTGTATATTTTTCACTGTACGTAAATTATATTTCATAAAATGCATTAAAAAAAACAATTGCATAACTCTTTTAAAAAAAGAATTGCATAATTCTTAAATGATCACAATATTTCATTCTGTTTTCACTCTGGAAAGGAAAACAGTTCCAACTAAACATCTTATTCCTTTTCAGTGGGCAATGCGAACATGATGTAGACATTATGTTGACTCCAGAAATGATCCAGGTGGAATTCCCAATGTTGAACCACAAAGACACTAGGAAGGAGAAGTAAGTGAATGTTTTTATGCCTTATTAAGAGGTAAGCTTGGATAAAATTTACCTTATGTAAAGGACAAAACTGTTGTGTTGTCTGAATCTTAATATCTCAGGTTTAGAAAAACACACATTTCTAATGCCTTAGATATTTACATACATATTGTTTATTTTATGCACATTGTGTGCCCTCAAATATTGTTGGCAAGTAAACTTTTAAATCCTGAATCTAATTTTTCCATTTGCTTATAATTTAATTTCAGAGATATGCCTATTTCTTAATAACTGATTGAATTTCATTCATTATAAGCAACCCAGACTGGAGCCAGTCAAGACCTGTGACCAAAATCCAGCTCCAGCATTTATCATATCTGAAGTCTTTTCTAGGCCACTCTTACTTCAGTTGCAAAATGAAGATAATCAAATCTCTCTCACAGCATGGTTGTGAGAATTAAATGAGATGCCATTTGTCAAAGCATGTAGCAAGTTGCTTGATGTGAACTAGGTGCTCAGCAAATGTTACTTCTTTCCTTTGTCGTTCCATCAGATGGCTAAATATCTAAGTAAATATCTTCATAGTCATAAATACTGGCTTTTTAAAACTCCTTTTGTAATTTAAATAACCACCTATAGTTCACATGTTTTAATGTTTAAAATAGTTTAGTTTCTTTTTTTAAACACATTATCATTTAAAATAAAATGCCTTTTTATAAATAAAGATATACAAAAAATATAAAGAATAAAACAAAAAATCCCACTACCAGGGGTCATAACTTTCACATTTTGATGTATGGCCTTCCAAACATTTCTATATACATCTGTATACACATGTGAACCTACCACTCATTTGTCATACTGTGGTAGATATGTGTTCCTGTGAGGCTGGAGGCTATGCCACTGGTATTTGACATACCAGCAGGATCACCCATGGTGGACAGGTTTCAGCAGAGATTCCAGACTAAGACAGAATCAGAAGAAGGACAGGACTATGTACTTGTAAAAGAATTGGCCAGTGAAAACCTTATGAATAGCAGTGACACACTATCTAAAATATTACCAGAAAACTTTATGAATAGCCCTGAAACATTGTCTGATATAGCGCTGGAAGATGAGCCCCTCAAGTTGGAAGGCACACAAAATACGACTAAGAAAGAGCTGCCTCATCAAAGTAGAGTCAACCTTAATTACATGGATGTGGTAAAGCTTTCAGGACCTCCATTTGTTGATGGGGCATGACTCAAAATAGGAAGAAACACCTGCAAACTTCCATTAATCAGAATGTGGAATGTATGAAGTATGAATATAGGAAAATTGTAAGTTGTCAAAAATGAAATGGAAAGCATAAAGATCAATAATCTAGGCATTAGTGAGCTGAAATGGACTGGTTTTGGCCATTTTGAATCAGATAATCATATGATCTACCATGGCAGTGTGGTAGTTAAGGTTATGTGTCCAATTGTGGCTGGGCCCGGTTGAGTGGCTGGGCAACTGGTGGTAGTTATTTCCCATGATAAGACTGGAAATCAACTCTGTGGTGGAATCTGCTGTGAGCAGCTGAGTTGCTGCTCTAGGGGTACGATCTGCTTCCCATATATAAGGAGAAGCTTTGAGAATGGTCTGTGGCTTTATGTCATGCTTGGACCCTGCATGTAGCTGACTCTTCATTTAGCAGCCTGCCATGTTTCCTGCCAATCTTGGCACTATTTCTGGACTTGAATCAATGGCCTGTTATGTGGTTTGGTAATGTTGGGACTGTGCCTTTTTACTTGCTGACTTTGAGTTTGCTGGCCTCAGCAGCCAGCAGCTGTCTGAGTGAAGAAAGAACCTACAGGGAGTTCCAGGAAGATGGTGGAATAGGCAGAAAGACTGCAAAGACCCTCTTCAACAAAGAAAAGGGGAACCAATTAACACAGATACAGAAGATAACCCTGGACACCTTGCAGGGAAGGATATAGAAGTGGACTACACTCCAACTAGCAGAAGAATTTTCATGAAAATACCAAAAGGGGAGACATACGGAGCTGCAGTCTGGCAGTGATCCTGACATCACAGACAGCTTGGATATTGCCAAGTGCTGGTAGGACCTAAGAATTAACCTATAGTTGGCCCTGCTAGCCAGGGACTGCATGGAGGACTCCTCTGGGACTGGGGAATAAAAGGTAGCTACTGAGGTAGCAAAGAAGATGGCAAGTTGAGCTGTGGACCTTTGTCTGTCCAGAGGGTGCAGGTATTTTGAATGTTTACAAGCAGCTTGACCATTTTGGATATTTAAAGCAACAGCATTCTCCCAGATTCCAGGGGCTTAAGAACAGGCTCCACTTGCCAGTAACCCCAAGGACATACCAGACCTGGATGACTGGAAAGTGGAAAACAGCAACAGTCCCCACATAACACAATTACACCCACACCTCCTGAAACTTCACTTACTAAATAACAGCCACCACTTCCTTCTCCACCAACAGGCCAACGATAAAAAAGGACCAGCCTGACTCACCCTGGGCTGCTCTTCACAAATAGTTAACAGAGATCTAAATACAACAACAACACAATGTCTTGGAGACAACAGACAATCACAGTCCACACAAAGAAGCAAGATAAAGTGGTAGAAACAGGAGAGCAGAATGCAGACCCAGAACACATCCCTGAAGAAGAAGCAGCATTGGAACTCTCTGATAAGGAATTCAAAAGAATTATCTTTAGGTATCTTCAAAGGATTGAGAGACAGACCAAAG